CGGCGAGAGCTAGTCCTAACTAATGGTTAAGACCAGCTTTTCCAAGGTGTGCATTCAGATTTGAAGGTGCCTCTCCCCCACCCCCACCCCCAACACCTTTCTCTTTTCTTTCCTCTCTGGGGAAGAGAGAGATACCTGAGCCAGCAGGTCAACTCAGGTTACCTCAACAGGTATAAAGCCCTCAGGGGGGCTGAATGCCAGCAAGTGAGAGCAAGTCTTCTAACCCAAAAGATGGACTTCCAAGGGGGTCCTTGAGTTGCAGGACTTTGGGGAAGAACAAACACATCATTTCCCACCAGATCCTTCAGACACTGAAACCTTTTATGTTACTAGCCCCTTGGGGCATGGGAAGCTGCCTCATCTTCCCTAATTCTTTCACCACTCTCTTGCCTGCGTGCCATCAGGTAGAGAAGAGGGCCAGAGGATGGGGGCGGGGGACACTCCATATCCTCAGTCAAGGCTGACCACCACCTCATACACCAACCCTTGCCTGGAGCAGAGAGCTCAGGCAATAACCACAACCTTGCCAGGGGGCTCTCAGAGCAGTTTGTGGTCCCAGGGCTTCTGGCTGATCAGGTTCAGGATGTTTCTTTCTCAGGAGAATATTTGTCTTGGGGTTGAAAGGGACTGAAACAGGCCTCTTACTTGTTCCCACATAGCTTGGAGGGACTCCCTAGTCTCCTTGCACCCCTTCTTTCCCAGGCAGCCAGCCCAGGCCAGGATGTGGATGGAAACTGTCAACAGACACTCTTTAAATATTTACCTACACTCTCTCTGGGGAATTGCCCCCAGCCCCAAGACTGGACAAATTCAAGTTAATGATAGTGGATGAAGGAATCTTAGTCCATCAACACCCCTCCCCGGCCATATGTGTGTACAGTTATGTGGATTGAACATAAGCAAAGAGATAACAGGAGTTAGCAAGACAATACTTATGTGTGTGCTGTGTGCATAGGACTTAAGAAGAGGAAATAAGAATAACTTCCAATCTCATCTCCTTAGTATGTGAGGTGATCACATACAAGGCAACATGGGCATACTCTTGACAAACACATTGTGTGTGCTACCTTCTCACCCAGACACTCTTCAGATACATGCTTCCAGTAAGCCAGCATGCATGCCTGGAAGCACCTTACAGACACTCCACGCATACATGCCCCCACCCCCCCCACATGATGCCCGAAAAACAGTCATCTTTAGGTCTCTGCATCATGAAAACATTTGCTGTTTTCTCTCCACATCCTGGAGATGCAGGGTTGGAAGATGAAGAAGGTGGTTAGAAAGCCAGATCTCTTTCCCTAACTTGAGTATCTCTAGAGGTGGAGGAATGGATGGTAGGACTGAGTGAGATGGTGTCCAAAGAATGAGGCTCTTCAGAGCTCCCTGTTATCGAAATAATTTCTGGAGAGACACCTCCCACTTAGCCCAATTCTCAAAGGAAAGGAGATTCTTACAGGATCTTTTGTATCTGGGAGATCAACCTCAACTGAGTTAGGGACTGCCCAAACACTCCAACCCTGAGGTCCAATGAGGGGAGGGTCATGTCAGGTCTCCCAAGGGTATAAGTGTTGAGGAAAAAACACCCCAATAAGGGAGGGCGCCTAATCTATTTCAAGAGGACTCTCTAGCCTGGTTTCCAGCCCTGCCTTCTAGTGTGCTCTGTGGTGTGCAGAACAGAACAGGGCAGACTGTGGGTTCCCAGCATCTGGCCTACTGAGTACTGCCATAAATACTTTTCCTTTCTGGCCTGGCAAGAAGAGGCCCAGCGGGCCAGATCTGCTCAGGGCCTGTGCCTTATCTTTTCGAAGGGAGGATATCTCGACATTTTATGGTCCAGTGAAAACTGCCACAGAGCTATTCTTCCAGGCCTTTGTGTGCTGGAATGCAACTGTCCTGAGTGTGTAGTTACCTCCGCTTGCACAGAGAGCTCAACAGTCCCCCAACTCCTGGCTAGACTTGGTTTCCCCTCTTTTCAAGGGTGCCACACCTTTTCTCCCACTTGATCCCCTCCTTACACCTATTTGTATTTTTTTCCCTCTCTCCCTAGTCTGAAAGTAAAGGAACGTAAATAGCCATCCTTGCTGTGGCCAGCTCTGCCTCTTGTCCCAAGGCATGCACTGCCTTCCTGGGCACCACGGATTTATGTTCATTTGTCCTGGTCATTCTGACTTTTTGTGTTAATTATCTGCTGCCTGCTTCAGGCTTATCTCCACAGCAAAGCGATTATTTTCGAAGTCCGCCCTTCTGCGCCTCTAGAGCCCACTGACAGAGAGAGCCAGGACCCATCTTCCGCCACCCCTCGCAATTTATTTACATCTCGTAGGTGAGAGGATTGATTTGCTCAGTCAGTGGGGCCCGGCTGGGGCTGGGTCAGGGCGCTTGTCCCACTCACCGCTTCTGGGCTGGGTGGGCCTCAAATGTCAGTGCGGCCAGGGCCGGTCAGGGACACCGACGACTCTAACATTGAGCAACAGCGCCACCTCGCGTCCACTTGTTCCTATGCAGTCCGACCGAGGAAAAGACCAGAAGAGCAGGTCGGAGGCCCAAAGGTGGGAAGTAAGAGGAAAGAGCCTCCAAAAGGGTACAGAGAAACGATTCCCCTGGAAAGGGAGTTCCCATGGGACTTCTATTCTTTTTGTTTTGTAAATAAACCTTGCCAAAAGTGTCCACTCTGCTTTCTCTTTTCCTTACCCTTCCTCCCTGCATTGAAAAACGCGCAAAGGACCCGCCGTGGGTCCTCCCCCAGCTCCGGTGCCCGAGTCAGACGTATTTCTCCAAACACCTCGGCGGCGCAAGCGAAAGCACGTTCCGCAGCGTCCACGACCGCCGGCCCGCGCGCCCTGCGCTTACCCTGCCGCTGGCCCCGCACCGCCTGTGTCGCTGCTGCCTGCCGGACTTAGGGGTGGGCCTCAGACTTCCACCGGCTGTTTGCCCCCTGGTCTGTAGCCCATCCCTCTCTCACGCGCGCTCTCCCACCTCTCCCTCCCATCCAGCGAGGTCCGGTTCTCCGTGGGCCATAGACAAAACATTCCTATAATCCGATTTCAAAGGAAAGAGTGTCCACCTTATTTAAACCATAAAGTAATTAAGCCCAGACGTCTAGCCAGCTCCGCGCTGCTGTTTTGTTCGGGCCCCATTCAGAACCCAGCGCAGGGAGACAAACAGCACCATAAAAGTGGCATTTCGGGGCTGCGGAAATGTACCTATCTGCTGCCTTCCCAAGTGGAGCAACCTTTAGGGTTTTGTGATTCTGACAAAGGAGCAGAGAAGTGGGAGGGGAAGATGAGGGGAGGAGGGTGTTTGTTAGCCCCTCGCGCCCCCAGCTTTCATTTCTTTCCCCAGATGTGTGTGATGATGATTTCTAATTCATAAATGATCATGAATAAAAATTCAACTTAATCGCGACTTGCAGGCTGAGGGCTGGTTGGGCAGTTCTGGATCCCTGCTCTTCAGGGCCCTCGGAGCCCTCAGCCTCCTTCCTGCCCGCAGAAAGGCCGGCTCCGGCGTGCTGCAGGAAGCAGGCCGCGCTGAAGGACCGAGGCGACAGGGCGCAGGAGCAGGGGCGGGGTGGAAGCCCGGAAACACTGCGGAACTCGGGCGGGAAAGAAGCCACGTCTTGCTGGGCAGGACACAGGGAGAAGGGTGCCTTGGCGTTCTCAGGGCAAAACTGAGACTAGGGTCCCAGATCAGGAAAATGATTAAAAAGAGGAATGAGGAAGTAAGAATAGAGAGAAAGCTACAGGCAAAACACTCCTGAGAAATGTCTAAGGAAACAATCGCTTCTGGCATTGGGGACTAAGTCTTCTAAACCAGAGACGGTGGGTGTTTCTCATCAGCAAAGGCCGTTATTTGCACCTTTTTACTGTTCCCCTCAAAATAGTGTCAAAACCAAACTTTCACCCATTCCCACCTTCCTCTAGGCTCTGAATTGGAGTGTTTAATGGAATGAGGGGGGTAGGAAGTTCAAAGGACAAGGAAAAGGCTGGTGTCTACAAGTGACTCACTCATCCTGTAAGGTCATTCTATGGGGAAGCCACAAATGGACTGAGGCCCCAAATTATTTTATGGTGGTACTCCCCAGATATTCAAGAGCAACACCCTGTCCCTTTGCCAGAATGGGCAGCCTGAGATATTAAAGGGCTATATTTCAAGCAGTTTGAGTTTAATAGTTTCCAGATTGGGGGATTTCCGAGAAAGGGGGCGCCTGGCTGAGTCTTACCCAGCAGTTTATGTCTGGTTCTGATTAACAGATGAAAACTGCCGAATCTGGAGAAGGTGCTGTGGGGTGCAGTGTAGCTGACCAGCCCCACCAATCTACACACATATCCTCCCTCATACTCTCCTGCCAGGGGTTCCACAGCCACCAGGGAACACCCCAATCCTGGCTAATCTCTCATCTCTTACTTGGGTCCCAGCTGCACCATTCTCCTGGGAATGCCGCAATAGACTCAGCAAAACCTAGGTCACCCACAGACCAACATCCATTTCAACATCAGAAAGGAGACTGAGAGAAGATAGGATATGAAGAGGAGCTAAGAATGCATTGAGAAGTAGAAACAGAATCACGGTATT